TTTGGGGCTGGAGAAAGTTAATAGCTAATTGTACCAACAATTATTTCTGTACTGGATAATGAGCTGCTGAAATTGCTAGTTGTATGAATGAGATCCTGCATTATTGATCAGGCATCTCTGTTTTACTGGACTGGAAGTCTACATTTCCCTTTGACGTGGCTAATTTATGAGATCTAAACCTGACATGCAGAGATGACATTCATATGGTAAATATATTTTTGCATTAAAAGGCTAAATACCGTAATAAGTTTAGCCCACTATTGTGGGCTACTCTTATATTCAGGAATATAGGCACTGAGGTATTCAACTAGATCAGTAGTCTATTTAGTTGAGCATTTTATCTCTGTCTGTTAAAAAACACTTAATATTTCAGAAGTCTAACATACCTAGTTACTTTAACTGAACAATGTTCTGCATGGAAGGAATGCTTCCTGACCTTGTAAGCTGAATTAGTCATTATAGGAAATGTGGTTACTTTTATTAATTAGAAGTGGAGAAAAACAGTATTGAAATACAATATTTAAAGCCCTTGAGGTCAAACCTACACATGTTAATACCATTTTGTTTGCTGTTCCACAATACTCTGGCAGTGGTAATATTATCTATTCTAATTCTGCTTAAAGGAATTGGATTTCAAATAAACCTATTCCTAAAAGAAGCATGAAAACTGGACTAAATAAAGTGATCATCCTGTTAGTAACCATAATTTGTCTAACAATTTACCATGGTTAAACACTTTGACCTTGATAAGTTAGAATATAAAAGGAAAATAAAAATGTAAGTATTCCTTATAATCTTCTTTCTTGTCAGAAGTAGAATTTTTAAGTTTTTAGTTTTCAGTTCACCTTAGTCAAATAGTGGTTCTTGCACATGTTTCTGAAATGCTATAATCTGTAATATTAATTCCTTCAAAAAAAAAAAAAAAAAAAGAGATGCATATTAGGGAGGCCTTTTTACACTGTGATTTTAGAACAGAAGAGGCTTTGCAGTCAATTATTTATGAGCATTAAGTACTGAAAGCTTTATTATCTCAGAATAATCAATGTTTGGCTGAAGCTTGAGAACACCAATAGCTAATCTGAAAGTCCTGATCCAATTTCATTTAAAATAATGACAGAACTCCTATTGATTTTAGGTAGGATGAAGCCAAAAAGTGTTGCCTTAAGAGACAGTTTTAGACAATCTTCTGTAAGCATAACAGAAAACTTATCTTTTGGTATCTGTATAATACTCTATGACATATTTCAGCAGGCAGTAGCTGCTTATTTTAGAATGGTGTCTGCATTTTCTATTTCCTTGGAGAGTCTTGTTTAAGTATCTATCTACTGAGCTGATGTTGCCCTCTCCGAGAATTGAAAAACAGCAACTGGAAGAGTTATGAGCTAACTTGAAAGGAGCTAACTTGAACTCGGTATAAGACTGAAATACTGGCATATTTTTGGACCTTTTTACAACCTGACTTTTTTGTTTAATGCCTTTACCTGCTTTTTTGTTGTTTCTGAATCCGCAGCAAATCTCTCTCCTTGGTCTAATATGCGGTGCTCTTGATCATTCTGCTGGGACCTCTCATGGTTATTTGTCTTCCTCAACTCTGATAATTTGTCAGTGTCAGTCAGGAGCAGTTTGCAGTATTTGGGAACTTCTGTCCTCTGTTATAGCTTCCCTTCTCAGAAGGAAGTCTTGCACAAACTACGAAGGATGGTTTTTGATTGCATTTAGGAAAAAAAAAAGAAATGTGATTTGTTATTTAAAAAGTGCTCCCAATCTCAACCTGCTTATCCTTCCAAAACAAAAATCCTATCAAAACTACATTTTAAGAGGTGTGTATTCTCATTTGCTTGTCTCAAAACTGCATTTTAGCAGGTGTGTATTCTCATTTGCTTGTCTATAAATTTATTTTTTACCACATTTCTGGTGAATGTGACAAGAAATAAGGAAAGCAGGTGTGTGCTCAGGTTTGTGCTCCGTGCTCAGTAGTAAGGCACAGTAACGTTGCATTGCTGCTCTTAGAAGTGCTCTAGTCTGGGAGTCTGCTTAATATTGACCACACTTTCGTTTTGAGATTGGGTTCTGTTTATTGCTAGTGTGGAGTTGTTATGTCTGAAGAGTTTATTTTCTGAAGCAAATGAGCCTTTCTCATTCTAGCTCTCTGCTGGTGCTGGGGGCTGCCCTGCGACTGCTGAGCAGAAAGAAAACCTTCTCTCTAGTGAGGAAGAGGCAGCATCAGGAAACAGCTTCTGGATAAGCAGCTAAGTAGGGAAGTAGGACAGATACTCTGAGACAGCATCTGGCAGAGGAAGCAAAATGAACCCTCCTTTCCAGAGAGGGACAGAGAAGGAGGTGTGGGGATGCAGCCCCTAGAAGAACCAGAAGGTCTGAAACTCCATAACATTAGGTCCAGAGGTCATGCTGATTTTTTTTTTTCCTAACCTCAGAATGTTTAATTTAAGCCCCTTAATAGAATCTTAGTCTAATTCATAAACATAGTGGCATCAAAGAAATATGACAATTTTGACTACTTTTTTTATTTCCTCCCACCTCAAAATGACTTTTTCTGCTTTTAGACCTAGAAAATAAAATACTGATCTAGACAAAGCATGCTTGGTGCTCCAAACTGACATGCATGCTGTCTTTTCATCTAAATTCTTGTGAAGGCCATAACATGGTAATATCAGAGAAAAAAAGAAAGATATCACTAAGTGATTTAAGCATGCACTGTTTAATATCTTTTTTTTTTTTTTAAATAGAGAGTTACATTCTCTCATTTCTTATTCAGTCGCACGTTAAGACAGATTTGACCAAGTATTTTTAGTTAGAGATTTGGAGCGGCTAAAGTAAGAAATCCTCTTAATAAAAATGGGAGCCTTTTTTTTTTTTTTTTTTTTTTTTTTTTTTTTTTTTTTTTTATTTTTTTTTTGCCATTCAAACTTTTTTTTTTTTGTGATATATTTTTTTTTTCACAAAAAAGTTTTTTTTTTTTAAAGCTGTCTTTTATACCAGTGGAAAGTCAGTGGAATTAGGGTTTCTTCCTAATGCATCCTGCTATGAAAGGAGTATCAGGTTGTGTGCATTTTTATTTTTCTTTATGCTATACAGGTAATACTATCACTGTACTTAAATAGGAATGCATAATGCAGTGACTACTTATTTTCCTGATGATGAAGATGATAGTTTTCTGTCTTTTGAAAAGTATCATAAGTCAGGTTAGGTTTCCCATAAGAATGCAAAATGACTTAGAGTTCCTAAAAGGAACAGGACAGAATCAAGCAAGACACACTCTATAAATTTCAGGAGTTTTTATCTTTTTTTATCTTTTTTTTTTATCTTTTTTTTTTGCTTTGAATGACAAGAAATATTAAGCTTCTGTCTTTCAGGAGAATATTTCTTTCTTTTTTTCCAATAGCTTTTGTATTTCAACTGGCTTTCCTTTTTTCACATCCTTTGGTTATTAAATGATAGAAGGTTGTAGAGGGGAAGAGAGCATCTTTTATTAGACAGACTGATGTAATTGGATAACAAACAGACAAGTTTGAAGATATAGAAATCCATATTCAGTTTTGAAACAGAAGCCAATTTCAGGACAAAAATACAGGCCAGGGAGAATTGTTTTGATTTTAACTTTGTTTTAGAGAGGAGTTGGACCAATAGAGGAAAAAAAGATATCTGGCACCCTGAAGCGGGTAAGACATGGCATGAAGGCAGAGATGATGAGGTTGTTGGTTGCAGTATACCACAGAGAGAAAGAGGAGCTCATGGTAGATGCTAACACTGAGGAATTTTTCTCCAAGCAGAGTCTGATGGAAAACATCTGAATGTGGAGCTGTTGAATTTAAAGCAGGAGTCAGTTGAGCCTATCAGCTGGGCATGACTCTAGGCTGCCAGCAAAGGTGGTGGTTCAGCTTTGAGGTTGTCTTTGGAGCATTGGAGTAGGCTGCCTTGAGAGGCTGTGGAGTCTCCATTCCGGGAGATATTCAGAAGGTGTCTGGACAGGGTCACGGGCAACTTGCTGTAGGTGACCCTGCTTGAGCAGTGGAGCTGGATGAGATGGTCTCTGGAGGTCCCTTCCAAATTCTATTGCTCTGTGATTCTTTCAGTGAGTGCTTGTCCTCACTGCCTGTCTTGGGATGGCATAAACACCCATGTGATCATCTGGTGAGCCACATCAGGCAGTGGGTTTGACCTAACCTCTCTTTTTTTTGCTGTGGGATCTAGCCAGATGCCTTTGGTCCAGCCCCGCATGCAGCTCCGTGAGGCACAGCTGAAATTTGGAGGAGAAGACAGCACCTGGGAGGAAGGAGCACTGAGCAACCTGGCAGCACTCCAGGCTTCTGCCAGGCTGAAGCAGTTGTGGGATTGTGGCCTGACATTTGATGGGTCAAGGTTGAGGATGAGGAAACTGAATGGCAGAAATCCTGGTACATGGGATTCAACAAATCCAACTGTATTCTAAACTTTTGTAGAGACTAATTGGATCAAGAACCAAAGTCTCATTTTCCTAAGGACAAAATAAGCTGTTCTGGTCTGTTTCAATATCCTATCTCCAACAGCTAACAGAAGTAAAAAGTAATTTTAAGTCTTTAAATATTTAGGAATTTCCTAGAGTTATAAAATATTTGTACAGTTCTAAGGGTAGGAATTAATTCTCCTAATAAGGGCATGTGAAAGTTAGTAGTCCAAGCTAGTTACTGTAGATTTCCAATCATGAAAAATAGGCCTTCTGAAAAAGTGACTTAATCTCTTACAGAAATAGGTGTTTCTGCCTTCTTTTGAGGCCTGTGTCTCTCCATTGACTACACAGGCAGCCTGGAGTGACTAACTCAGATTTAGGCAGTTTTTAGGCATCTGAGGACATGTGAAATGATTCTCCCTCAAGTCTTCACAACTAGAAAATAAAGCCCACCTGCAGGGATGACCTTGAGCCCTGGCCCGGGGATGCCAGGATGTGTTCCCAGCTGGAACTGGGGTGTAGGTACCCAACTGAGGTGTAGGAAAGGGAAGACCACAGTGGCTACAAGCTCTGCCCTGATGCTTTGCCTCTGTGCCAGGAGGCAGTGTGGGACCTGTCATGTTTAGCCGTCATGGATGTAGCCTTTGTCACTTGGAAATCGGGACTTTGAGTCTCTTAAGTCTTAAAATTCTGAACCCTGGTGCAGTTTTAAAAGTACCTACATTGTGCTGATTGTATTCTGAAAAGAATATGAGATTCTGCAGAAATTCTTATCTTTTAGAAGAGGTAATCCTTCTATATTTATCCTGGCATTCATTCTCTAGGCATTAAATTCAGATGGAGATTACTCTTTTTAAATGTTTGTATAGATCTGTGCTATTCTTTTTTTTTTTTCCCCCCCTCTCTGTTAAAATGATACTATTGCTTTGGAAATGTGTTATATTCTTTTAAAAAAAGGTTGTCAGGTTTAAAAGCTTTAGGAAACCTTTGTAACTTTTTCTTTTTTAATTTTTTTTTAAATGAGAGTCTGTTCACTGAAAACTGCAGCAAATTACTAGATGCTAGATATTTGAGTTCCCCAGGAAACTCTCATGACATTGAGTTTGTGCTCACAAGCTGACCTTTGTTCCATTATATAAGAAGAAAGTGATCTTTATGAAAGTCACATAGAAGATAAGATCAACATGGCAGACTGGTAATTACATAAAGTAATGTTCAACCATTAGACAAAATGTACAGTTGATCCTATGGCTTAGATGTGGGCGAGGAATATGATCTAACTTCACTGGTATAAAAGAAAGGTGCAACTTTTTCATACTTCAATTTCAGGAACATACATCTAAGCTCTGAGGACAGCTCTTGTTCTAAACCATCCTTCAGATACCCAGCTGTCTGATTTATTCTCAAGGGAGGTAATATCTTTTTAAATTTTCTTTGCTGTATGTAAGAGGATCAACTCCTTATTTTTTCTGCATTCTTCTTGCCTTTTCTGCCATTCTTCTTTTTGTTTTCTCTCAAAGTTTTACTTTGCAAGTTAAGCTAAAAGGTTGCATTGGAATTACCGTGTTTGGGGTTGAGCTGGTTTTGTAAGTAAAAGAAATGGATGGTCCTAGAATTCTATAAAAGTTACAGTTAAATAATGTGGTTTTGTGATTTCTGTTTGGGTCCAATAATGCTTGGTCAGTAACCCTGTGTTTTTCCTTAGGCACAAATACTGGCCTGATGTCAAATGTTGTACAATCTATGATACTAATACATATTTTGAAGTCTTTAAATTTTCATTCATGATTAAATATGTTAAGGAAAGGGGGGGAAAAAAAGATTTCTGAGTCTGTAGTGTTTTGCCAACAGGTTCCTATATACAGAGGCCCATAAGGAAAGAACTGGCACTTATATTTGATTGTTGCCGGGGCAGAGCTCTCCATCACTGCTAAATATTCTAGAAAGGAATGAACGTAATATGCAAAATACTTAACTGAGTATTTAGCTGAGTGTGATGTTGTCACGGGCACTGTAAAGAAGAGTATGCAGAGTCATCCGAAGGTTATATAGAGTATATTAGATAATTTCATACAGTCAATACGAAGGAAACCCATATAATGAAGTTTACTGGCATGCCTCTAAAAAGACACGGACTACAGAATTTGTCTAAGGATTCTCATACAGTGGAGTTTTACATGAATGTAAAAACAGCCTCAAAATCTCACGTGTACCTGAAAAGATGACCTGTTTGCAAACACATACAATCATTTGTTTGTATTATGATAACTGATAATATGATAATGTACAAAAAAAGAATGAAAACATTGTAGATAAGGAGATGACACTTTAAGTGCTAGGAAAGACTTTAAAATACCATACTTTTAAAGATCTGCTAAAATCCATGCATTATATAATGTTCCAATAGCTTAGGAAAGAGCTTAGGAAAGAAGAGCGGAGAGATCACACCTGGGTTCTATTTGCTGGTTTTAGCATGAAAGTGATTGTCATTGGAAGAAGTGCAAAACTGCAATTTCAGTTCCCTTTCTGGCTAATATAGTTTAAACAACTTCCCTCAGGGATTGCCTTGAAATTTTATGACCAAATTTATACACCAAAGTATAACATCCTGTGTTTAAATAAGTAAAGCATGGCGAGTACTGCCACGTCTTCAGAGAGCGTGAGATCACAGAACAGCCACTCACGGGCTAGGGTGTCACCACTGTGGGTGACATTTTGAGCCATTGGATCATCCAGATTATCAGGCTGATGTAGAAACGGGGTGTTTGGGGAAGTGGTAAACGAGGCCTCTGGCTGCCCCCTTTGCTCTGGGGCATGTGTGGGTCAGCTCTGAGGCCTGGAGTGGAGCAGGACTTGAGGCTGAACTCTGTGATTCTTGTCGTGATACAGGCAATTCTGCCAGCATCCCATCAACTCTATGGTCCTGAAAAGAGTATAGTAACCAATCTTGAGGAAAAAAAAATCCACCTTGTTGGAAAGATGGATTTGATCAGCTTATTCAGTGCAGCTTAACAGATGTGACCCAGCTCAGTTTGGCTACTGGGACATTTGAAAGGATCACATGAGGCTGCTGATCTAAACCCGTGAAGACCAACCCTTCTAATGGGGAGAGAGTTTTCTTTTGTCAAGATGACCGAGCCAAGAGCTGGCAGCTTCCCAGAAGCCTGAGAGGTTGGCGAAGGAACCCATGACACTCTTGTTTTGTTGGTGATTTATTGTCCTCATGTTTTCACTGCAGTCACTTCAGCTTCACTGGAGTCAGGTGTAACTGATTTTAGTCTGTCCTAAATATCTGAGAGAACAAAGGGAACATAAAGTTTGCCTTGCGGTGACGCTCAGGCGGAAACTGGATCTCTGGATGCAGGTGTTTTGAAGGAAAAGCCCATTTTTAAGACAGCAATGAAGAAAGAGCGAGGCCCAGCCCTGCTGGGGTAGCACCTGTCCCTTGGGATGTGCTGCTGCTCCACACCAGCTCCCTTGTTTATCCACACGTCTCCAGTTTCATGGACCACCTCTTAGCCCAAGAGAACTATTTCTTGTGCTCAGCTAGGATCTTGTTAGGCCCTAGCAGGAATGAGCAACTACAGCCTAAGCACATACGTTTCTTTTGACTCTCTTTTTGATACCTTTTAGAAATACTTCCAATGCATCCAAAAATGCTATCAGTGTTTTTTTTATTTCCTCAAATTCTGTACAAACTGCTTTTCTTACATTTGCTGGTTTGTGCCAGCATGGACTGATGTGCTGTGCAGGCAGGAGGGGAAAAGACGTTGTCTGTATTCAGCATCCAGCCCCATGCATCCTCTTTGCTGTCCATTTTGCATCAGCCATTCTGGGCTTCAGAGCAGCCTTCTACACCTAGTTTTTGCCATCTTAAATAAATAGAGTTGTTTCTGCTTTTGTGCCTTCAGTCTTTTGGAAACCATCACGTGTTTCTCTCCTACTGATAAGCCTCATTTCTTTCTGCTTTGGTGACTCAGGTCAGCCAGAGGGCTCAGTCCCTTTCTCTGTTCTTCTCATCTTGACTTTGGTCTCAGCCTCATATGGGTTTGGACATGATCTTTTTGTGATTGCTGCAAACTTGGAGCTCTCTTTGATTTCATGTCCATTGCTGTCCTGAGGTCAAACCTGTCCTGAGGTAAAAGCTACCTTGTATGGCCTGTGTGCACTGTAAGCTGAACCTTTTGAGTGCCTTTTGAGTGCTTTGTGCATCTGTTTGCTCAGTGTAGCGATGCCTGCTGGCCTTCGTGTAGCAGTCGTAGCTCCCCATGTATCTCAGGGAGCTTGTGAAGTAATGGAGTGTCCCTCAGCTAATAGCTGTGGAACACCTCAGGTTTGTCTCTTCCAGCAGATGGGAGCAGGCATCATTTGAACATCTGCATCACTGTGGTGGTGGTTGCAGGGCTTCTGGTGGGTGGGTGCGAAATCTGAAAAGAAATAAGTCGTTACGTGAAAGCTGCTTTTATTTAATCATGCTCTCCTCTCTGATTTGTCTTTCTTGGTTTTAGAAGTGAATGTTTTCCCAGATTGCAGTCACATTCTCAAATGATTTCTATGTCAAATAACAAGATTAATTTCTTCATGGTTGACATTATCATTCTTATATTTAGAAATATTTGGTGCCACAAGATGATCTCTCCCTGGAGAATCTGTTGTGCAGTAACAGCATTGACTGGGGAAGCTAGAAGAAGAGGTCTTAAGTAGCAGAATAACAGAATAGTATTTTTTTTTCTTGCTAAACAGTAGCTTTCAGAATGTAAAATGTATAAATCACCCTTGATGGCCTTATTTCTGCACATCAGGTACAAGAGCGCTTATGCTCTTGAGCTGCAGTTTCTGTCTTTAAAGTCAGCAGATAAGGTGGTCTGTGAAGACACAGAAGAAACCATTCCAAGGATCCACTTGCAAGATTTTGGCTTTAAGATGCTGTCTGTGCTGCCTACAGTTCAGACATACTCTGCACAAGTTTTAAATTGGCTTAAGGGATGGCTCAGGGATGCAACTGCTGAAGAAGGGAGATCTGCATGATCATCAGACAGATTTTCTGAGAAGAAAGGTAAATAGTCTGGGAATTAGGTGCTCTGAGCTCCACAGTGCTGCAGATGGGTTGTGGCTTAGGTGGTTACAGAGCAGCAAGACACGCTGTCCTTAAGGTGAATACAAACAGTGGTGAACTGCAAGTCCCCCGCAGGATAATGTGCAAGGGCAGCAAAGGTCCCCTCTCGGAATGCACACGGGGTCTCTACAATAAAAAGTGCTTGAAACACAACCCTCAAATTGGGTCCCAGGCAAGTTTGGTTGGACAAAAGAGTGCTGGCTTTCCCTATTATCTACAGGGATTACCCCGGATGTGGAATTTAATACTTTGGCATCATTTGTACAGCACTTTTCTCCATGGACCCAATTACTTCGCCTCGGGATATAAATTATTCCTGTTCATTTTTAAAGGAAGGGCTGAGGTCTATGCATTGCAAGAAGAGTTTCTTTTTAAGGAGGAATTCTATTTCTGAGCAAGGGAATGAGCCAAAACTCTTTTTGACCGGGCACGTAAAAATTGTCTGGGAGATAAGGAAGCTCACTGTTTGAAAAGGGAGATTACAAGCTTTATGCCCAAGATGTGTGTTTTTAAAACAAGATCTGAAGTGAGGTTCGCTATTTCATTTTATGTATTCATAGTTGAGCTTAATTCAGCATTTTTAAAAATAGCATTAGTTAATTAAATGTTTATAACATAAAAAATCAAAAAATGTGTGGCATCCTTATACTTGGTTTAGCCTAACTTAAATCCCACCTGGCTTTCCATAAAGAGAGGTCCTCCTAGCCATGCCACGGAAGTGTAGGAGCTGAAAAGCAACAGGTCTTTAAGTCTCTTACCAGACTGGCACAAAACGCCTCAAAATAATTGGAAAGGTCCCGTGGAAGTTATCAAAAAGATGTCTTACTTATTTGCACATAGCCTTTAATTATATAGGATATCTGAGCCTTTATTTATGTAGGAAAAGAACCAAGATTTCCTTTCCTCAACCATGAATTCTTACTGTGATTGATAATGATAACATATTTATTTAAAAAAAAGAATAGAGAAGTTTGGAATGTTATTCCCAACCTCTGTGTTTTCTACCTGTAGTTCATGCAGTTGTTCAATCAGAGTTGTGCGTTACCCTGTGGAACAGATTTGGTGTGGATCCAACATAGCCACACAGCAGCATTTTTGCTAGGCTACCCAGGGAGCAAATGATAAGGTGTTTATGGCCGCTTCATCTTATGCAGTACTTGCAGATGGACAGATGATGTAGCGCAGCATATAGCCCTCTGGAATAAAATTAAGCTGCTGAAAAGATTTTTAAAAGTTGAGACAACCAGAGTGTGCTTGAATCGGACCATTTTTTTGCCTTCTTCGTCCATTATGGAAGCCCCAAGTGTGGTTTGTGGTGGATCTTGGTGTGATGTCGGGGTCCTGGGCCTGTTCAGAGTGAATTGAGCTGCCCCTCAGCACTGCTGCTTCTGCCTCCCCCTTTGCCCACTGCCTTCCTGGAGGCACCTGGGAATCACCCCTGATGGGATCATGTTTCCTATGGTGTTTTCTGAAATGGATGGGGAAGTGAATGGGGGGGTGTTTTCTGAAGCTGCACAGGCCAGAGGAGCTAGATTGTACCTAAGGACAGGACTGTGAAAATCTCCTTTTGGGGACATCAGTGCTAAAGAGGTCAGTGTATGGTCAAATATCTGACTGCCATCCCATATGAAATTATTTTTCCTAAAAATGGCATGTTTTTCCTGAAATCTCTTCCTGGTTCAGATTCAGATGGTTTTGCCTTCTTTATAATCCCTTGCTGCTTTATCCAGCCCGCCATAAATATTGGACAGTTGCAACATTTGAAGTTTAAGTGCTATGATTTATGATTTATATTCAGAACAGCACAATTTTGTTATGATGATGGTAAAGACAATTCTCTGAGTCTGTAAAGTACTCATCAGCATATACTACCCTTCTGTTTTCTAGTTCCAGTTCTAAATTGTCTCCATTACTTGCCTCAAATACTGTGTCAGCATGCACCTTTGATACTGGTAATGATCCAGTGCAAAATAGTCCTTCAAAAAAAAAAATGTTTATTTGTATTTCCAGAAGAATTATGGACTACTGTGGGAAGTATGCAGCTGTCACTTTGGCCATTTTGTCTGTATTTCTGCATCTTCTCCATTCTTTCCCAGATGGAGAGTTCCTCATGCAGGGTAAGTTGTTTTAAACATTCAGAGGTAGGAATGTTTACTTGTTTGTAAAAATATTAATTAATCTTTCACAGCAAATCTTAACATTCACAGGCATTTATTGGCATTGAGATATGAAGGTATAATGAACCAAGACAATTTTTGCCATAAGCATACTTCCTATTTCTTGTCTAAACTTGGGTCAGAAATTTTTCCCAGATGGCAACGCCCTTATGCTATTGTGGGTAATCTCAATCCCTGGAATACTTTCCAATGCAAATGTGTCAATTTTATTTTTTGTTTGTTTTGTCAAAGTGACCTCATGCATATAAATACTGCAAGAAGTATGACCTTTATTCCTGCCGTAGCATCTCACTCTAGATTAAAGGGTAGCAACACTGTGGAGCAACCCTAGAAACTTGTCAAAGAAGGAATTTCTGATAGAGACATTGTTGCAAGGAGGAATTTTGTTCTGAAGGACCCTTTGTGCATGAATATACTGAGGAAAAGTCACAATATGCAGCAGAGGGGACTAGAAATTCCTGGCAGTATTTCAGTCTATAATTCAGGCTGATCACTTCTTTCTCTCCTGCACTGTGATGAACCATCACTGTGACTTCTGTTCTTAAAGCTCTTAAAGATGCAGCAAAAATCTTTACTGCTAGATCTTATATATGAAAAGTCTGCAATTTTTCTCAAATATTTTTTTTTTTCAGTAAAAATCGCACATAAAGAAAGGCTGGTAGAATTTCATGTATATTTTATGAACATTGATTCACTGACTCCTTTAGTGCTCCGATTCAGATCAATTTTAAGCTTATCCTGTTGTCTTCATGACTTTGTTGTGGAGTGACCACATTACTTATGAATGAGAAGGTGATTCTGTTAACGAGGCCACATTTCAGTGATACAGTTAGACACCTGCTTGGCTCTGGTTAAAGTAATCCCAATTCGGTATTATCAGGATTAAGCAGTATTATCAGGTTAAGCATATACCTGTTGTTAGACACAGCCAGACTTCACGACACAGATATCTTCTGTCCCAGCCCAACACGTGTGGACCTGCTTCAGTGCCTTGTTTCCAGATCATGCTCCTCTTACTAACAAGGCCAACCACACAGAGAGAAAATGTTGCCTTCATCACCTGCTTCAAAACCATCAGTACTCTCATAAATGTGAGCAACACGACTTGAACCTGTTTCTCCCCTCTGGCTGATCAGGATTGAGGTTTGCTAGTGTTTCATACATGCAGGTGCAGCACTGGTCTGTGCAGTTACTGGTCTAAAACTCTCAGTCTAAGGTCAGCACTACCTGGTAGGTGGCTCCAGGACCCTGCTCTCCTGGTTGCACCTGGACCTAGAAGACCTGTGGTCTCACAGCCTCGTACTTCAGGGGCTGGTGCTCAGGCCTCTCCTCATACATGCCCAGTAGTCCTGCTTGATGTTTGTTTGCATGCACACACACATAAGAAACACACAGAAGTTGTAAATAAAGAGTGCACCACAAAAAATAGATAGTTAGAAATAGTTAATAAAAATACAGGGTAGACTGCAGCGACAAAGCACAGGGCTCAGACCAGTGTACTGACCGACTGTTTTCATAGAACTCTCTCCTTTTATCCCCTTTTACTTCTGTTTTTCCCATACTTGTTTCTCTACTGTCCTCCTTGAGCTCTTTCCCAATCTTTGGTTATTCCCTTAAAAATCTGCTATAGGAAGTTTTGCCTTTCCCACACTCTCCTTAAAACATAACAAGATGTACACAGTCCTTAAATTCTTCTCCCTGTGCATCCTGTAATAAGCCCCACACCACGTTAGGCAGTTGCCCTTTCAGCCCACACAGCTTTGCAGGGAGAGTGCTTGTCTGGATGTGTCACTTTGGTGGCTTCCCACTGTGAACAACAGGCTGGACCTTCTCTTTTGTTGGTCTTAGGAGTCACATGGTTCATTTTCACTGCTCGGGTTAGGAGGGTTCCTCTGCCTCTCACCATTCCCCTCATCAGGGCTGGGTTTCTGCATTCACTGTAATTAGCCTTTACTCATGTAACCTAACATGTAAACTTCTGTTAAAACCCAATTTTCACACTTAAAATGATCTGATTTTCAATGGTGTTGAGCGTTTACCTTCCTCCTGTTGGGTTCCCTTAAAGAATTCAGCCTGAATATAGAAAAAGCTGAGCTACAAAAATCTCAGAATTGCAGGTAATCTCTGATTACAGAATCTTGCCTGAAAATGGAAAATGGATAGTTAGTTAATTGCTAGTTAGCGATCTAAAAATAATAGCAAGGGTTTAGGAAGAGCTAGTGTAATAGATGTACAAAACAACAACAACGATGACGACAAAAAAAAACTATCAACAAGATTAAGTTAGAAAATAAAAGAAACAATAATGCCTGTACTTTACCTGGAAAGCCACACTCCAAGTAATTTTGCAAATGGTGTGTGTTGCAGAGTTCAAGGACTCCAAAGGAGGAGAGCTTTTCTTTCTGTTCTTTTCTATTCTGAAATTGTCAAGAAGTACAAGGTGATGGTACTTCCTCCTACCATTTGCCCTTTCCCTTTCTTTTTGAAAATAAAAATACAACTAGGGATAAGGTAAAAATCTCTTCCTTATATATACCCATGGCAGGTTGTCCAGAGTGCAAGCTAGGGGAGAACAGATTCTTCTCAAAACCAGGAGCACCCATTTACCAGTGCACTGGATGTTGTTTCTCACGGGCTTATCCCACTCCAATGAGGTCAAAGAAGACAATGCTGGTACCAAAGAACATCACGTCAGAAGCGACGTGCTGTGTAGCGAAGGCTTTTACCAAGGTAAGGATGTGAATGGAACTCATTGAAGCTAGTTGTAAGATACAATATTTACCTGTATTGTTAAGTAGAAAACAACGTAGTTTTGCTGGAGAACATTGAAGGAAGTGTCATTGACATTTATGTCCTTTGCACTTCTTTTTCTAAAGAGGGAATGCAAGTGTTAACCAGTAGAGTCTGAAATTCATTTGGGACATGGAAATTGGTTTGGTGCCATGGACTTTGGTGACACTACTTTGATTCACATCACCCAAAGATCTGGTGCTAAATACATGTGCTTCCTTGTTTTTTAGCTCTCCTGGATGTGCACCCTTTCCACAAATGTTATGCAGCGTACGCTTGATTTTAATCATTAATTTTCCTTTCTTCTTTCCTGCATAGACAGGAGTCCTGTGGGAAGGCAACTGATCAATATTATCAATTTCATTTTTGGGAGTGAGGAACCAAAACCATCTGTACTCATTAGGTTAAGCAAGATTAAGTTTTTTTTTAACAGTATAGAAGGAACTCTAAACATATGTAACACCCTAAAGTAACAGCCTTGTCTGGAAGGTTCTACTAGAGATTCTACTATAGCTGATTATTTTAGGGTTGATTCAGCTACAGATGAAGAAACTTAAATTTTGATGTAGGTCTGGGTGAGATAGTTTTTATGGGCTAAAGTATCCATTTTACAGTGATCTGAATCAGGCTTATCGAGTGTATCGACTAGACGCTCAGTTCAGTTACCCGCTTACAGAGATCCGGTGCCGTTTGAGCTGCTGTAGGGTATTCAAGGCACCTGAAGGTCGCTGGCAAACATGGGATCTATGGAAGGCCTTCTGGAGCGGTTGCTTTAGGCTAATTGGAATTGTCTTTGATATCTCAAATGTCACTTAACATCTCTGTGCTGGCAAGTGAACAGAGCCTGGACACCTGGCTCACTTGTAGGCACCCACAGTTTATATATCTTAATCCATAGCTCAACCCTTGCTGGTGCTTCATCTCAGTAGTGAATAATCCTTTTTTAATATCACCAACATATTTTCCCACAGGCAATACTAGCACTTGTTTGAGATTAAAAATAAAAATGACTCGTTTTTTTCATAGTGTCTACTTTCATTTTGTGCACATTAAAAATTCTAAAGAGAATTCCTGAGTTTTCATAGCTTAGGAACTTGACACTTTCCAAAGAAATAGACAGTTCAGGAAATTAAGGACAACAAACTGCAGGTCACTATTGAAATCCTTCTAATTATGGCTCTGAATGCCCCTGAGGTTGCAGTTCCAATGAGTGGCATTCAAGTGCTGTTCCAGGACACGTATGTAAGGGGCTTGTGTGCTGCTTGGGGTCCAGAAAGAGGCTTCAGAAATCTTTTGCTTGAGAGTGCTGTTTTACCAGCGTAACTGACTACAACTACTTGTTATGTATGTGTTTTTTTTGTTTCAGATTACGCTTAAGGACAATGTGAAGATAGAGAACCATACAGATTGTCACTGCAGTACCTGCTACTATCATAAATCCTAAAGTCGGCCCCTTTGTTAATGATTGAGGATAATGGTGAATGGCATATATGTTTTTCAGCGTCTGTAGCCCTACTATGTACAACTTTTACGTTTTCTGGTCAAGACATTGAGTAGATGTTCCAGTAAGATGGATGGCTGTTTTGTTTTCTCTCTGCTTCTTCATGCATTCAAGTAAGCGTAGTTATTTCCATTAGGGATAAAATACAGCACATGCATGACAACCAAAGGCTTGATTTATTTTTTAAATAAACTGTCAGTTAAATCATCAATGTTTCTTGAGGAAAAATGATGATTTAATAGCTTAAAACAAGAAGAAAAGATTATGCTGGAGATAATTTTTTTTTTTTGGTAGGAGAGGAAGGAAAGGAAGAAGGGAGGGATGGAAAAGTGGAAAGAAAAAGAAAAAATAATTTCTTCGTATTCATTTAGTCATGTTTACTTTTTTTAAAGATTCAACATCTTATTTCTCCCATTTCTCTCTCTCTTTTTTTTTTTTTCCTTGAAGGCAGAAAGTTTAATGGTATATGATTTATTTACAGTACTCTGTCTTTCTGTGCTCTCTGAAGTTCATCTGTCGTGGAGCTGTGCCTTTTTGCCCTGCCAAGCTTTTCTTCCGACGACCTCTTGCTCAAGTGAACCGCCTGGGCAGCTTCTTTTGCTTGCTTGGCTGGGTATTGCCGGGCTGCCCACATTCATGGGCTTCTCAGACTGCAAATCCTTCCCCTTTTGAATGCAACCCATCAGGAGCTTGCTAAGCATGGATTGTAAGGATGTGTAGAATGTGAATGCGTCTGGTTCATTAAGCTTTCTGGTGAAAACTCCTCAATTCAAAGAAACAACAAATAACAAGGAAAGTGATAAATTAAGCACACAGATACACAGTCCTGACAAGGAGGTGATAACAGAGACAGTAGGGGAGACCACCCCTGTTTAGGCACTGATTGATGGGCCATTAAGCTGACTGCTCGGGCATAGCCTTGAATAGGGTCAAACTGAACTCTGTAGCTGATAAGAAGGGGTAAAAGGACCAACATGAGTGTTATGGGATATTTGAGAGAGGCCACTGGGACTGTGCAAAACTTGCTATGGGATATTGGATGAGACTTGTGGGACTGGGCAAAACATGTTCTAGGATGCTTAGGGGAAGGGCCAAATGCGGAGAAAAGGGGATCAGAGTGGATTAGGGGAGAAAAAGCATGGGAAAATAGAGATGAGAGTGGATAAAAGGGTCAGGTGGTTTATTTTTCCCCAATGATTTCAATTCTGTGTGTGTGTGTGTGTGTGTGTGTGTGTGTGTGTCCAATTGCTAGTGAAGTTCAAGCTGGACACACTGGTAAGTAGGAAGAGGTATGTGCCTAGGAGGACTCGAGGACTGAGCCAGTGGTGGGTAAGAAGACCCAGGATCTATGAATGGATATTAGGAGAACTGGTTGTCTACACTGATGCTCAGGAGATCTGTGCCTGTGGGCGTGCTTGTGAGAGGAGTGTGTGGGTGCATGCACCTTTTGCTAGTGAACTTCAAGCTGGACTTGCAAACAAGAAGGGGGAGACCGACATGCCCAGCAAGGAAGCCTGGAATGGCTTACTTGGTGTACTGGGCTGGGAAGGAGGAATCCCTGGGTCCTCATGCCTGCTGGGTTCAGCAGCTGTCCTTCACCACCCTGGCTCCCCAGTACAACTGTTTCTGACTCCGTGGCTGTTTAAATCAGGTCGGAATTTACCTGTTTGTGTATGCAGCCAAGTGTGAAAAGCAAGGCCATGGTCCAAGTGGTGACGATGTTAAATCACTTAGTTCAAGCACGGTCAAGGCTAGAAAAAGCAGTGGTGCTTCTCATTAGGAAGTTAATTCAGCTGACCCTAATAGAGAGTAAGTAGTTTAGAAACCCCCACGGATATGAATGGGACTTGATGAATGGGATATGAATGGGAATTTCCGTATAAGCTGGAAAGCCATCTAGACTGATAGCTATAGGGACTCAACACTAGATTTGCAGTAGAAATGGAAGACAAAAAGTACAAAATCATTTACTTACAACAGAAAATAGCCGAAAAAAGCCTAAATCAGAAGGCACAGATAGACAATATCACAAAATCAGAACAGAGATTAATGTCTTGTTTACACAAGTAGAACAATGTTCATTTTCTTTATTTCAGTCATGGGATGTTTGAGTATGGAAAGAAAACAAAGTCTTTGTAAGTGTGGTTTATAAGTAGCAATAAATCCTATATAAATGTACATCATCCCAGTCCTAACAACAAACTCATTCCCTGAGCAGAAATGGATTCCCTGAGCAGAATGGATGAAACTTGATTTCCTGTACCCGTGTGTGTCCTGCACCCCTGAAGACCATTTTGCCATGTCCTTAGCAAGTCTCTTACCCTTCTCCTAGCAGCAATACCATCTAAATAGCAGAGCTGTGCCTAGGCTGAGCCATCAGTTAGCGCGAGCATCACCACATTGTTTGGCCACTTGGCAGCTTCTCTTAGGACTGAGACTAGGCTGAAATTGGCTTCTCTTTAGCAGAACCTCCAATTTTGTCAGAGCTCTGAGGTCTTTATCTGTCACCCACTGTTGCCAGGCTGAAAATCCTTCTAAATGATTCAGAGTTATTGCAATTTGCAATCCACAGCTGGTGGGCTCACCTCAGGAGGGATATGCTCTTAGTTCTAAGTTTGTCCCAGGACTTAGGCTAGCTAATTACAGGCTATGCTTCCCCTTTACAGCTCTGTGAAAGAAGACTGCTCTTTACTAATGTAGAAGACTTTTTTTTTATGTGTAAGTATATAGCAGTAGCCTCATATAGTGGACAGAGGCCATTTGACTACTTTGAAGACAGTTGCCATGAAGAAAGCGATTTGTCTGTAATTTCAAGAAACATGCAAACACATTCATTTATGGAATAAAATCACCAGTTTTACTTTTCATAAGTGTCTAGGGAATTTCCACTTTTAGGGATGCCCTGTTACTCTGCAATTTCCCCAAGCCTCTGACACACGTTAACCCAGCAACTCGCTTGTGATCGGACTGGTCTAGGAAGCTCTTTACTTGTGAATTACAGGTGCACATAGAAATTGTAAGTCTCTCAATTGTTGTCCCACCAAATCATTCTGTGTTGAGAATTCTTTTGGTTGAGGAAAAATAATGCAAAACATAATGGACTTGCTTTGGGGAAGATCTTCAGCTTAGTGTAATTACTTGGGAATTTGGTTTTTATTTATTTGATAGCTTGTTTTTGAAAACACCTCTTTCTCTCCTCAATGTTTGGGTTGTTCTAAGAGCATAAGAAATGCCTTTCTGGCCAAAGCAATCATCCATTTAGCCCAGCACTTTGTTTCTCACTGGCAATACCAGATGCTTTTTAAAGGAACAAAAGGATCTGGCTGCTTTTGGCAGTCTATTCCCCTGTTAATACCCCCAGTATCCAGAGCTGTTTTATTAGGGATATTGCTCTGTCTTGTCCTTTTTACATCTACATCTACATTTACATTTACATCTGTTGTCTGTGAATTTGTCTAGTTCTCTTGAAATTGCTGGAATCATCTGCATCAAAAATATCCTGTCTCAACAAGTTCCAGAAGTGTAATGAGTACTTTCTTTAATTTGTTTTAAACTGATCTCCTGATTATATTGAATACTTTCTAATTCTAATAGAATTGGACTTGGTCAACAATTCTGCCTTTGTCGTCACCTTATCTACTGCCTTCATGATTGTAATTCTCTATATTTTTTTTCTGTTCTTAGTCTTTTGTTCTGCATGCTAAATAGCACAACATTTTTTAGTTTCTCCTTCTCAGGCAGCTGTTTGATTATTTTACTTGTTTTTCTCTGTACTTGCTCTAACTCCGCTAAGGAAGGATGCTTCCTGAGACATAGAGAGCAGACCATAGACTGTACTCAGGTGTGGTTACACCCAGGTTATGTGTACAAGCAAAATGATGTTCTCTGTCTTGGTCTCGGTACCCTTTCTGATAACACTACGTATCATTTTGGCTGTTTTGATGACTTCAGAGAATTGTCAATAGTGACTTAAAAAAGAGATTTATTTAATAAAAAGATATTGCTGTCAGTTCTGTATTCCACATCTTGTAGGTATGGCTTGGGTTGTGTTTCTCTGCATGCATTACCTTACATTTATTTACTCTGAAGCTGATCTGACATCTTTTTGTCTGTTTAGTTTTGTGTGGCCCTTATGGAGTTCTTCACCACCAGCATAACATCTGACCACCAGTAAGGGTTTAGTATTGTGTGTGAAGTAGGAAGTTTCACTGTGGATTCTCCTCTCTAAATCTTCAGTGGATATGCTGAATAAAACCTGTTTGGGTGTGCCCTATCTCTGGTTTCCTATTCTTTATCCAGCTTTCAGCTCCTAAAAGAAATATTTCCTCCAGCCATATAGCAACTTAAGTTTCTTTAAAAACTCTCTTCCAGCATTACTTCGGTATATCTCAGTTTTTAAGGCTTTGAAAATGAAGAATACCAAGCTCAGTGTCCAGCTTATGTTGTCTAATAAGTGACAGCTGTCTCAAGTGATCTAGCAGGTTTCTGGAGTGCATTGACCACAACTTCTTGACACAGGTCATGATCGAGGAGCGGCGGAGATTTTCCTTTCAAGAGGGGCTGGGTTGGATTTTATTCTTTCAGACAAGTCAGGGATGTGAGGATTAGGAGCAGCCTTGGCTGCAGTGACCATCAGATGGTGGATTTCAAGTTCTTGCAAAGAGGGAGCAGGGAAAGAAGTAGGATCACAGCCCTGGACTTCAGGAGAGCAGATTTTGACCTGATCAGGGGTCTACTTGGAAGAAACCCATGGGAAAACATACTTGAGAGAAGAGGGGTTCAAGGTTGATATTCACCTCCTCCAAACATAAGAATGGTTCATTTTGAAAAGCAAGTAATGAAGCAAAGTAGCAAGAAGCCTGCGTGGATGAACATGGGCTTCTAACTAAACTCAGACACAAAAAGGAAATGTAAAAGGTGGAAACAGGGACAGGTGAGTCAGGAGAAATATAGAGACACTGTCTAAGTGTCTATGCAGGGATAGGGTTAGGAAAGACAAAGCCCATTTGGAGTTGAATATATATGGAGTTGAATATATACATGAAAATAAAGGGCTGCAGCTAACAATCTGAAACTTTAATTTAGTGTTTAAGAGAGCGATGTAATTGCATGACCATTAGTAATGTTTGTAGCTGTGAATGCAAAGCTACTGGCAAACATGAACAAATACAATTCTACAAGAAGTTGTCCTGTGCATGTTAGAAACACTTTTTTTTCCCTCTGTGTGTTTGCTAGCTCAAGTACTTGTTCACAATGGGGCTTGCTTGGGG